CGCTTTAGGAAAGAGTGGAACTAAATATTCAATATTTTGTCACCGGGCTAGAACCCATCATGAACTGCAAATACCAATTTTTATCAAAATATCGAATATCGGGAGGTAACGTTATATGGGGGCTATACCAAAACGTGGTCCTATACAGACAACATTTCGCAATCGGAGCAAGAACCCATCATCACCAACAAATTCCAATTTTTCGACAAATTCGCGAAAAAATGTGGCAAAAATCATCAAAATACCGAATATCGAGAGGTACCGTTGTATGGGTGTATGCCAAAACGTGAACCTATACCTTCAATGTTGCGCCACACGAGCTAGAACCTATAATGGCCAACAAAGACCAATTTTTAGACAGATCCGTGTAAAAATGTAGCAAAAATCATAAAAATACTGAATATCGGGAGATACTGTTGTATGGGGTGTATGACAAAACGTGGATCTATTCTTAAAATGTTTCGCCACATGAGCTAGAACCCATAATGACCAACAAAGACCAATTTTTAGACAGATCCGTGTAAAAATGTGGTAAAAATCGTCAAAATACTGAATATCGGGAGGTACTGTTGTATGGGGTGTATGCCAAAACGTGGACCTATACCTTCAATGTTGCGCCACACGAGCTAGAACCTATTATACCCTACAAATACCAATTTTTAGACAGATCCGTGAAGAAAACGTGGCCGAAATCATAAAAATACCGAATATCGGGAGGTACCGTTGTATGGGGGCTATACCAAAACGTGGACCCATTCTTAAAATGTTTCGCTACATGAGCTAGAACCCATCATTACCTACATATACCAATTTTTAGATAAATCCGTGAAAAAAATGTGGCGAAAATCATCAAAATACTGAATATCGGGAGGTACCGTTATATGGGGGCTATACGAAGACGTGGACCTGCACAGACAATTTTCTGTCATAGACTGTAGTATTCATTACGAACTTCGAATACCAAATTTGAAACAATTCCGGTGAATAATGTGCCTAAAATCATCAAAATGCCGAATATCGGGAGGTACCGTTATGTGGGGGCTATACGAAGACGTGGACCTGCACAGATAATTTTCTCTCATAGACTGTAGTATTCATTACAAACTTCAAATACCAAATTTGAAACAATTCCGGTTAATAATGTGCCTAAAATTATCAAAATGCCGAATATCGGGAGGTACCGTTATATGGGGGCTATACGAAGACGTGGACCTGCACAGATAATTTTCTCTCATAGACTGTAGTATTCATTACAAACTTCAAATACCAAATTTGAAACAATTCCGGTGAATAATGTGCCTGAAATTATCAAAATGCCGAATATCGGGAGGTACCGTTATATGGGGGCTATACGAAGACGTGAACCTGCACAAACAATTTTCTGTCACCGGCAGTAGTATCTATTACGAGCTTCAAATACCAAATTTGAAAGGATTCCGGTGAATAATGTCGCTAAAATCATCAAAATTCTGAATATCGGGAGGTACCGTTACATTGCGGCTATACCAAAACTTGGACCGATATATATCATTTTCAATACCAACCTTCCTAGACATAATACAAATTGTTCTGCCAAATTTTGAAGGTCTACGTTAAATAATGTGGGCTGCATCCTGATTTCAACAGACAGACAGACGGACATCGTTATATCGACTTAGAATTTTATCCCGATTATAAATATATATACTTTATGGGGTCTACAATGAATATTTAGGGATGTTAAAAATGGAATGACTAAGTTAATATACCCTCCTTTGCAAGGTGGAGTGTATAATAAATCGATTTAAATCGAATCTTAATCGATTTTTAATCGGATGGCACTAATTTGATTTTCTCATAATTTTTGAAGGTAGTTTTCTGTTGGAGATTTAGCTATATCCAAACCGATTTTTCCCAAATGTCATTAACTTGATTCTGCACTGAATTGGTCGTATGTGCGAAAGTATATGTGGAAGCTATATCCAAATCTGAACCGATTACCACCAATTTCAATAGGGCCCTTCTCTGGGCCTACATATTTCATCTTCTCAGTAGAAAATTTTGCAATGTGCGAAGTTTAAAAAAAAATCGGGAAGCATTTTATGAGAGTTAAGATTATTCAAAATGTGGACCTTTTGTAGAGCAGGTACCAGAATTGTTTTTTGTCCCTACAAACAAAAATGATTTAGCGCAACATTTTTTGTAAAAATTGAAATAAATGTTAAGTTCATCGTTTCTATCAGTAGGTCTTTTCGTCACTAACTTACCGTCAAATATTTTTTATCCAATGATATGATATGATTACATAAGCAATTGCAAAATTGCTGTTATTGATAACACTATGCTTAACAACAAATAATTATAAGGAACACCAACTAGATTAAGTTAAGCAGAGCCGAACTTTTCATACAATCCAAAATTTTGAAGGATCTTGAAGAATTTGAAAAAAATTCTTCGAAAAATACAACTTAAATCTAAACCGTTATATGGGGGCTATACGAAGTCGTCGACGTCCATAAGTAATTTTCTATCGTCGGCTGTAGTACCGATTCCGAACTTCAAACACGAAATTTGAAACAATTCCGATAAAACAAAATGTAGCTAAAATCATCAAAATATCAGGAGGTACTGTTATGTGGGGGTTTTACGACATCATTGACCTATATAGACAGATCCCTTCCAGGGGGTAAAGTAATCAGAATTCCTTCTGGATTTTCCATTAAACATTTTTGCTAGAATCATCAAAATACCGAATGTCGGAGGTACCGTTATATGGGGGATATACAATATCAGGGACCTATATAGACAATTGTCTTCCAGGAGGTAACTCCTTGTGAGGATTTTCAGACAATTCCAATGAAATCATGAAAATACCGAATATCGGGAGGTACTGTTATGTGGGGGCTGTACAATATCATGGACCTATATAGACAAATCTCTTCCAGGGGGTAAAATAATCAGAATTCTTTCTGAATTTTCCATTCAAAAACCAGACCAATTTAACATAGCATTTTTATGATACCAATGTCAAAATTGTATTTTAAACTATAAAAAAAAAAAAACTAAAGATATGACCCTGACCATGGTACAATAAGGAGGTAGAACAGCTTCGAAAAATTACGGAAATACAACCCGCTTCCTGGCAGAATTATTCCAACAAGTTGTTTTCATTTATTTGATATTTTTTGTTCATTTTTAAAAGGAGTCAAATAGAGCGAAAGATGAATGAAATGCCTGGATGTTCTCTCAAAAGTACGATCCTAAATGTTCAATCTTTCAATTCAGTGGCAAATCTGATTAATGCTATTAATGCGCTACCCGCAATTTAAGTCTCTTCGAATCATTGAATTTGAAACTATTTTGTTTTTATTTTTCAAAACAATAAATACATACATAAAATTGACAGAAGTCAGGCACACTTTGAAAAAAAATTCTAATCAGCTGGTAGCTCTACCTTACCTTTTTATTGTACCATGACCTAATAATTAAAATTTCTTTGTCTTTGCCTTGAAAACATTGGTATGAACAAGTGGACTCTTCATAAGAAATTCACGATTTTCTCATGGAGCAGTTGTTTAAAAATTCACGATTACAGACCCGGAAATATTTAAAAAAATATACTCGATTGGGGACCCGGTAGTTTTAAAAAATGTAAACGATTTGACCCCTGACTTATTTTTTAAAATCCACAATTTGAAAATAGGAACTATTTATAATGCTCTAATTAAAATCCTGAAATAGTTAAAAATCTAGGATTTGATGTCGTAAAACAGGCTACATTGTTTCGAAATATTAAGGAAGCGAAAATCGTGGGAAAAATGATCTATTTTGAAAAAAATCCTCTGCCTGGCAATGGAAATTTCAGAATATTGCTTGATATGCTTAATTTATCAAAGATATCCTATCAGCCACACGCGGACTTCAGAACTAGAACGAAGAAAGCTTTTTAGCTTTAACTTTTTAACTTTTCACTTTCTATTATTTCATGACCTTATGGCTGCGTGGAGATTATACCGTACGAATGTAATTTCCTTTGAATAGGAAATGTTCCAAATTTCAGATCTCAAATTACCTTTTAGTGCTAGGGGGCATGTGCAATCTGGACATGCCACTGCTTTAAGTTCCCTAACCGGCAATAGGGAAGCTGATAGCGAAACCTTCTTGTCGTTTTATATGCAAACACATGCAACCGAATGGATAGCTTTATTCAACGATGGAGGGATTGGTCGATCAAGAAATTCCAGATAAAAATAATAACCTTACCTCTTCGGGTAAGTCGCCGTTATGTCAGTAAAAGAGAACCAGTACGGTGCCTACCACGAACTTCAAATACCAAGTTTGAGAAAATTACGTTGAAAAATGTAGCTAAAATCATGAAAATACCGACTAATGGGAAGTACCGTCAGTGGAGATAGTAGCCATTGCGAACCCCAAATACCAAATTTGATATAATTCCGTCTAAATATGTAAAAAAATCATCAAAATACCGAATATCAGGGGCATATAACTATATGGAGTCGTTTCTTAAACTTGAATCTACATGGACATTTCTTAACAAGCATGTTTCTTACATATAGGGATCACAAGATCCCACTTTACAGCAAATTCTATCCGAAAATATGGCTTAAATAACCATAACATCTGGCGGCAAAGTTTAATGGGGTCTATATAAACCATTTTTAATAACAAAAGTTTTACGGACCTATAATATATCTCTGCAAAATTTTATTAATCTACTTAATTTCGTTCGGAAGCTAGAGTGATTTCCACAGAATCTAGATGCTGATCCTAATATAAAGTTTGTGGGATTAAAATACTAAATTCGAGGAGTTACGAACGGAATGTTTTAATTTCTACAAGCTCCATAGTATGGTGGAGGATTTTTATACCCTATATGTCGCGGTAACTCTTCAAATCGATCACTGTTCCTTCTTTTAAAGTGACTGGGTTCTATCATCCTAAAGGTTTCATTAACAATTCCAATTATGTTATTTTTCTAAAAAAATAATAAATAAATCAAATTTTGTATGTATTTAAATTTTATGCATTTGTTGTTTTATTTTGAATTATAAATTTTTCTTAACAGATTTTACATCAGATGTATGATTAGAACTTTTTTTTTTTGAGAATATTACAAAACTTGCAAAATAAATTGAAGTAAGTATTTAAAAAAATAGTGACTATGAGAGTGGTGATGATCCCCAAAGAGACAAAAATGGTATGAGTTTTTAGATTAAAACAAAGGAGACAATTTTTTGTCTAAACTAAATTAATCATACTGAATTAAGTTTTCTTTTGTTGGTATTGCATTTTTAAGTGGAGTTGTTAAGCCTATGTTAACACAGTGCGATAAATTAAATTAAAAACGAAAATTAAAAAAAATAGAAAATAATATTGCAGGAAAAATACAAAATGGTAAGATACGAGTGAATACAAATTGGTATATTGACAAGATTTGAAATCAGAAGTTAAAGTTCATACTACACGCAAAAATGCACTTTATAAAAGCACTAATAAATATATACCAAAAACAGAACAATTTGACATGACAAAATGTGAAAATTTGCTACAAAAAAACTATGTAAAAAAATTTCGACGTTTGCTTAAAACATAACTAATATAATTTCATTTCATTCGCTTAAATACATAACTACATTTCGTTTACTTCATATAAAACAAATTCTCGTTTTCTTATTATTTTTCATACTTTCTAAAAAATAGTGACTTTTTTCTTTTGCAAGATTTAAAAATGGAGATTTGAGTTTTCAAAGGGAAATATTTTAACAATAAAGTTTTAAGTTATCTCAAAAATACATGTGTACGTACATTTTGTAGTTTTTTGTATTTTTGTTTAATACACATAGCTCTATTATACATGTCATGATAATGAAAATATATTTTACTTTTAGACATTAAACAACATGCCTTTGATTAAACTATGTTTGTTATAAAACAAAACAGAAAACGAAATTCGTTTAACTTTAAATAATTTTTCTTTTGCTCCCCCTTTAGATTTTTTTTTTCAAATTTCTAACAAAATTTTAAAAAATTACATAAAATAGCCACTACTAAATTTGTATATAAAGGTAAAATATAACATTTCATTTCAAGGGGAGAAGGCGGAGCATGGTCTCGTGGGCTTGAGGGAGCGTGGTAGCAGAAAAAGGCTGCTGCTGGTGGTTTCACACACAGACAGCATATCTAATTGTGTTTTCAATTTTGTGCTACATTTTACGTTGTTAAAGAGAGAGTTTCTTTTTATGCTTTTCTTTTTGGTTATTTGCCACATTCGCTGTATATTCATCATATAAATATTTGTGAATGAGTACGTGTGTGTTCTTTTTTTTTTTTTTTTTGGTTGTGGTGTCCTTTATACAAAAGCATTTAGTCTAAAGCTATGCCTTGTATCCAAGCGCTTAAATCACTACCATCTGATTCTAGGGTAATCTCATCGGGCTCCTCGTTGCCAACCAGATATTGAGCAGCAGTACGTCCACTCAAATAGGCACCATGTACAGTTGAATAGAAATTGGAATGGGTGTGTTCGCCAGCAAAGAGAACAACAGGCTGAAATAAAAAACAGATAGACAATTGTTAATTCAAGAACATAAAATGATGAGATAATTGAAAACTGGCAGAAAATATATCTGAAAATGGGTTGAGGTATTGTCGATAGATTTCTAAACTTCCTCCGGCTTTTGGAGTGGACAAAGCAGACTAATTTCGGACACGTAAGGGGAGTAGCTGATGGTGGAAGACCCAAAAGATATATTGCGTAGATGCAAATTAAATGAGCAGGCGTCTCAGCTGGTGTCTAAGTTCAAACGCCTAAATGGAGTGTATATCGGTTTTGGCGTCAAAAAACATTAGCCTTAGTTCCTTACCTTCTAGCTTCTAGGCTGAATTCCGTCAGAAATGCCAAAATGTAGGCTATTTGAGCTGATATTAGTAATTTGGTGCACACTGAACTTGAAATCGGATAAAGATATATATTGGAGCTATATCCAAATCTGAACTGATCTTGATAAAATTTTAAACACTTAATCCAGAGCTTTATCTGATATCTGGTACCAAAGATCATTGTTGTGGAGTACATATTACCCATGTGAGGGACTTAAAACCCCAAATCGGATAAAACATATGTGTGGGAGCTATAGTTTTATCTGAACCGATTTCCAGCAAAATTGATGTACTTGCTTGCCAAAATGCAAGTCATTTGGTTGGTATTAGCCATTTGGCGCACAAAAAACCTGAAATCGGATAAAGATGTATATGGGAGCTATATCCAAATATGAACCGATCTTAAAATTTGAAACACTTATTTTAGAGCTGTATCTGATATATGGTACCAAAGATCATTGTAGTGGAGTGCATATTACGCATGTGTGCGACTAAAACCCCAAATCGGATGAAACGTATATTTGGGAGCTATAGCTATATCTGAACCGATTTTCACTAAATTTGATGTATTTGCTTCTACACTGAATTTGGAAATTTTCATGTCAATCGGATAATAATGCGACCTGCATTTTGTTCAGAAATATACATGGAAGTTGTATAGAATTGCCGACTTGTTTCGCAAGTTATGACAGATATAAGTTTTGGAAGTTGTGACCCTTTGTGGTTGAAGTACCACAATGGGTTGGCAGATATCTATCATCTTCACAACAGATTTTGCGTTAGCAATATCTGAAATTTGAATTTTTCAAAATTTTGAACCCTTTGTGGGGAAATATCAGAAAGAGTGTGTGAAATTTATACAGAACCGGATGCTTATTTCGGATTTAATAATTGTTTTGGTTATTCAATACTTTGACCCATTGTGGGGGAGGTATCAGAAGGAGTGGGCCAATCTCTACCATCTTTATAGCAGATCTTTTGTTGAAGGAAATATTGGGATGCTCCAAGTCTGAATGAAGTCGGATGTTGATTTCGCGTTTTAGAAGCTTCATGGATATTTAAATATGTGACCTTTAGTGGGGGGGGGGGGTACTAGAAGGAGTGAACCGATATATCTCATCTTCACCGCGGATTTTGTTTTAGTTGAAATAATGGGATGTGTGAAATGTGAAGAGAACGGGATGCTTATTTCGGATTTAATACCATATTTAAAAAAGATCTTATGTTAATAGAAATATTGAGCTGTGCCAAGTCTGAATGGAATCGGATTTTAATTTCGCGTTCCATGAGCTTCATGGATATTCAAAAGTTTGACCCTTTGTGAGGGGAGATACCAGAAGGAGTGGACCGGTCTCTACCATCTTCACACCAGACCTTGGGTTTATAAAAATATTGTGATGTGTGTAATTTGAAGACAATTGGACTCTTATCTAAATGTGATATTTTATAAGAGTCAAAATTATTCAAAATGTTGACCCTTTGTAGGGGAGGTACTTAATGGAGTGGATCGACATTGTCCATATTCACACTTGACCTAACACTGATAGAAATATTAAGATTTGCAAAGTTGGAGCAAAATCGGATTATTTTTCTCTTTCTGTACAGTATTTTTTTTTTTTTTTTTTTTTTTTTTGAAATTTTCGACCTTTTATGGGTTTTTTATTAGGAGTAGTGGATCGATATTGCCCATCTCCGAACTCGATCTAAGTTTGACAATGATATTACGATGCACCAAGTTTGAATCAAATCGGAGACATCGCTAGATCGACTCCAAATGTCCTGTAACGGATTTGGTCCAAAGATACCTAAAAAATACCTACCTATACCTAAAACCGTTATTTCTATGAAGCACGTTTTGGCATACCCTCTCTAGCCATATGGCTGAGGGTATAATTAAAGATGAATAAAAAATTTTGAAATAAGTAAAAACTTGATATCGATCCGACACTCATTTATATGAGACACAGGCTCGTGGGAGAATAATTAACACACGATCTGTCTTCATTATCTAACACAAAACCAACAGTAAATCTTCAATTGGCCGGAAAACGTGGACTACCTCTTCAATTCTATTTTTTTTTCTTTTTCCTAATCTCTTTTCACTTTTTTCATTTCTCTTGGAGTCATCTTTCTCGCTAATCCAGCCATCAACAATTCATTTAAACTCAACGATTAAAAAATTGCTTCAGCGACAAATCTGAATTATTTGAAATCATTAAATGTATACAAATTCTACATTCTTTACTTCCGGTAAAACAAAAACCCCAAATAAGAAAATTAGACATGACATGTGTCAAACTAAAAATAAGCCTAGCGATCTATTAAAAGCACTTCTAAACAAATACCCAACATAAAGTTATTTATACCCCAATTTCTTTGAATTTCCTTCACCCCTACCCTAATTCTGAGACATTCACAAAACATGCCGCCAGACTGTCTGGTCATTTGTTTTGGAAACACTTCATGTTCTTTTTATATCTTTAGGGACCTTTATCTCACAACTGTGCGTTTTGGGACGTTTTGTATACTGAAAGGTAATCAATGGACTTGAGAAATAAAATGATCGGCAAACCAATTGTGAATACATAATTGATCAATTAAATTCTTGGAAATGCCTAAAATCATTTAAACATTTTCAAGTATTTCGATTGCAATTGAGGGACACTCCTAACATGAACATACATCTTGTAGGTTAGTCTACATATTCATATGTCTGGGAATTTCCCCATTATTCAGAAAAAATCTTAAAAAACGGTCACTAACTAGAAACTGGAGCTGAATTGATCTTTTGCATATAATTATTTAGAACTAATTAGAATAACACCGTCCAGCGTTATTAAGGCAATCACGTGTGAATAAAAAAAGACAGAAAAATACCCTTATATAACAATATACAGGTTTCCAATATATTCTATTATCTCGAATTAAATTCAATCAATTAAACAATAAGTAAAATTGTGTGGGGATGGTATCATAGGTTTGATTGGCCCAAATAGTTTGAACCACCTCGAAAACATTGGTACTAGATTCAGCTTGTTAAATACCTATCATCTCAATAAGCTGACTCCATCTAGCTATGAGTGTCCGTCCGTCTATAAATGTCAAATTGTATTTATTCTACAAGTCGCAATTATAATCTGATCCTCATGAAATTTTATATAGACACTTATAATTTTTTGATATGTTCGCAAAATATTGACATGTCATAATATAGACCAATCGACACGGAATTTTTGCAAGATAATAGTATAAGGACAGGGCAGAAGTCTATCATTTTGGATGACCATCGGATAGTATTTAGCAGGTGAAATAGACCATAGCTTTTGTGTAAAAAATACCAAATATTCATTCAATTGAAATTTGCTTTTTCCCTTAAATGCTGAAATTCACCTCCCTTTTTTAATTAAAAAGGCACTTTTAATTTTTTACAGATATTTTACAATGCTTATCTTACCTTAAAGGCATGAGGAGATGTGTAGAGGGGTTGGGCCAAGTTCTCTATATCCTCTTGTAATGCACCCACTGGTATTGAGGTATATGATCCCATCGTAAATGTTTGAGATTTCCAACTTGTGCTGAAATATTAATAAAAATTATATATTAATAAAAATTATATATTGCATAGTATTTTTACAGAACAGAAGGTGAGCAAGGAATTTGTTCTCCCAAATGTAGCTGCCTATATTGCGAAGAAATTGTTGGACCAACAGACAAGTGCGGAGCACGGAATCCAAAAAAAAACGAGAATATTTTATCATCCAAGATATACAACGTTCGAATGGGTTTGATATGATATAGACAAGAAAAGTAGTAATTTACGACGATCTGCAAACATTTTTCTCATGTTCAGTGAAGTTGAGACAGGTTTCCAAACTATTCAAAGACCTTGATCCAGATTCCATATCCATGCTGATGTTTTATAAGCTGGGTGCAATAGGTTTGTGTTTCCTGACCAGAATCTTGCAACAATCCTGCTCCAGTCTGAACTTCAATCATTAGTGCCAATCAGCGGAGAAATTTACAAGCGTCGCAGAGCAATCAACTCGGATTCTCAACCAGTTGTATGCAATGACCAATGAGGATCACATCCTTGACCCGGTATGTATTAGTCAGGCAACATAATGTGTTATTGGCTAGACAGTTCCTGCTGGCGTGTTATCTACCATGTCATCCCAGCCAATACACAGTGGTGGAAGATACCTACCACCCAACATCCGCCAAAACTTCAGATGATACCGTCATCAAGTCGGACGTCAACCGAACTTTGATATGGAATGCAATGAAAATAATGCATCAACGGGTAGTCTCCGAAGCCATAAATGGTTATATATGCAATAAAGTTCTAATCCAACATCCTCCTGTAATACCGAGCAGGGAGCGGTAACTTTCTAGTGATACACACTCAATTCTAGCATAACTTCGGTCTGGGTATAACAACGTTTCATTTTTTTCAGAGAACGTATTGTGCCTAATACAATTTACAGGTAGCCTTCATGTCAACAAAGACCTTCATGTCAACAAACCCCTAATTATTCAAATGATCCAACAAGTCTTCGGCCAATAGACACATGGGCCAAACGAGTGGCGCAGTTTCTGCTACCCATATCCAATTCCATGCATTGATACATTTTTCTCATATTTTTCTTCGTTTCCTTTTCTAATTGTGTTACTTCAGGAAGGAACCTTGACATTCTCCAGTAAATGGCACAGAACACAGAACAGAGTTGTGAAACAAAATATTAGCCTTCGAAACAGCAGTTGGAAACGTTTTAACGCACTGCCTGGTTGCAAAGATTTATAATGAAGTTTTTGGGCGACAAGAGTAGTGCGGACCATATGCGATTTCGCGCAACATTTCTGTCTTCCAATACACCTCTTTCTGCATCCCTTTTTTCATTACATTCTGTGTATCTTCCCAAAATGAACACAATCCAAATTGATTAACCTTTTTTACTAGTTTTTAATAATTTACTTACCACACACATCTCTTCGGTTTCGGCACATAGGGATCCTGCAGGAAATTTCTCAATATCTCTGTACATTTTTCCGCCACAACATCCGATGACAGGGTTTCCATAAATTCAGCCTCTAAACCCGATACCCATGCCAACAGCAAGGTATCGGAAATTTTCGCAAATGAATAGATTTTCTTATACCAATGTTTACTTAAATACTCGTGAGTAGCACGTTCTTCGTCGGAGGCATGTTCTTCGTATTTATCATCATCCCAGAGTAACATAATTTCCGATATATCGGCACTTAAAAACGGTCGATCATATTCCAAATAGATTTTATCTACCGTACCGAACATCAAATGTTCAATGGACTCCTGTTTGTAGTGTGGTAATTCGGGATCGAATAGATTTTTATGGCATGACTTTAGGACGCCCAAAGGTATGGTACATATCACATGTTCAGCATAAAAGACACGACCATCCTCACACGTTACACGTACGGGAAAGTCACTGTTCACGCCAGTATCTGATTCAACAGAACCACAACGTGAATTCTTATCACCAGTTGAGGGAGTATTTTCTCTACTGCCGGCGGCAGAGGAGGCACCAGACGTCGTCGCCGGTGCACCGCCAGCTGGGGGAAATTCTGTGACCGTTTTTTCGGAATCATCCGAATCATTTTCCTCATTCTCATCGACTGTGTCCAGGCCGGTAAGGGTCTTTTTTCGTTTCCAGTGGATTTTCTTGACGGGGCATTTGGTTATGATAGCCTCTTTGGGTATTTGTGCGGTAAGGGGTCTTAAAATTGAACTATAGCCGGCAGGCAATACTATGTTGCCACCTTGTAATTCTGTATAACTACCTGAAAGTGTAAGAGATGGTTATTTTAATATATTCCAACATGAATTTGACATCACTTTACCTAATTCTAAGAGATCTACTTCGTTCATATCAGTGCAGCCGGTTATACAAGTTTCACGCTTTAGCAAACAATTGAAAATCAATTGTTTTAAGCGCTTCTCTTTGGGATCTTCGACAGAACTCAAATAGATTTGTATCTCGAAATTGATGTGTTCTCCGACACTGTTTATGTCCGGCGGTGGACTATACTGACAGAGGAAATACTCATCGCAGCGGCGTAAAAAACATACATACGCCTCGTAGATTTCCTGCAGTATATTGAAAGGAACCTGCTGACCATCTTCGGTGGTGGCCACCACCTTGTGCGGTTTGGGTATATTAACCACACTGACTAGACCATGTTGTACCGCTATTTCGAATATGGGATTACCCAAGACGCCGTGTATCCAATTGGCGCCAAGCTCAACCTGTAAGGAAAACAAAAAAAAGGCGCAAGTGAGTGATGTGAGCATAAATTTGCAATGAGACAGAGAAAGAAAGAGAGAGAGATAAAGGTAAAGAGAATGAATTGATGTTTTCACTTGATTTGACATTGACAAGGCCTACGCATAATGTTTTTTTTTAAGTGTCAAGATTTCCGTAAACAACTGCTTATTTATAGATGTGCAAATTTACAACAACGATCAAATAGATAGTCAAGATTATTAAACGCCACAATTACTTAAGAAATTTATATCGGTTTGTTTACAATAACTTGTATATTCTCAGACTTAAGTGGCTCTAACACGCCGTGGTACTGGGTGTTATGTGTTCGTGAACTAATTTTTAAAAGGCAATATGGGACATGGCATATTCCAGTTTGTTTTTGTAGCGATATGACGTATGTTGTTAATCGGGTTCTGTTTCCTACTCCAAGTTTAAAAATGTAACTACTTCGATTGGCTATGGTCATAAATCTTTGGGAGTGTTTCGTATGTTAGGAGTGTAGTGGAAAATAAATTTAGGGGTGTCCGGGCATGTATCGCATGCTGGGCGGAAATTCTGTACATTTTTCATAGAAATACTTCCAATAGAATTTGCTACAGATGGACAATTCTTAACCATAACTACGCTGATATACTGAAGGAGCTGCCGTGTTCAAAGACAAAACTCGTAGTGCTTTGATTTATGGCATCATTGGATGCATTAGATCTGTCTGATAAATTTATAATGTGGGCTCCTTTCTCTTTTTCTGCATTGCCTGGGTGGTGGAGTTGTATGCAACATATAATGGTTTTTATGATAACACCCAGGACAAGAAAATAATATTCGTACTCCTAATGCAGATGACCCACTGCTGTCATGAGAAGGTTAGTCTACACTAGCATTATTATTCACTGATACCACTGCTAACGCATAGATAATCAGAAACCAACCTGCTACATATAACGGCGACTTGTAACCCCCAAAGTTGGGGGTAAATTGTGGTCGGAAATTTACCCCGTCTTTTGGTCGAATTTATTTTGAAGATTTTCATCACACTTTCCAATAGAATAGGCTGACATTCTATACCCTCCACCATAGTATGGAGGCTATATTAAGTTTATCATTCCGTTTGTAACACCTTGAAATATACATTTTAGACCCTACCAAGTGTACATATATTCCGAACGAAGTGAAGTTAATTGATAAAATTTTACTCAGATCTGTGTTAGGACTTTTGGTATTGAAAATGCGCTATATAGGCCCCGAATTTGCAGTAAATTGTAAGCATGCGTTCCCATTATGTCAAAAACATCCTTGGATAGAACTGTCAACATAGCTCTATGTTTTGGTATAGTCCCCATATAATTCCTCCAGATATTCGGTATTTTGATAATTGTGTCACACTTTTTACTGGAAATGTTCCAAATTTGGAATTTAAAGTTCCTAATGGGTACTACAACCTATGACGGAAATTTGCTCATACATGTCCACGTCTTTGTATAGTCCCCTTTCCCCTTTTACCCTTATAATGGTATCTCCCGATATTTGGTATTTTCATGATTTTAACGACATTATTCACAGGACTTGCATTGTGTCTAGGATGGTTGGTATGGAAAATAGATGGAAATGAGATATGTTCAGGTTTTGGTATAGCCGCTATATAATGGTACCTCCCGATATTCGGTATTTTGATGATTTTCGGGACATTTTTTCACGAATTTGTCTAAAAATTGGTATTTATATGCCATACGTTTTGGTACAGCCCCCATATAACGGCACCCTCTGATATTCGGTATTTTTATAATTCTAGTCACATTTACCCACGTCATTGTTTCAAATTTGATATTTAAGAAGATTTGGTAGATGACAATCTTTAAAGTATAAAATTGCCTATAGAGATTCCCGTATTGGTATGACCCCCATATAACGGCCTCGCCCACTTTAGGTTTTTTTTTTAAGTTTAACAGCATTATCCAAACGGTTTTACTGGTATTTGTAGTTTAAAGTGGAACACGTTTGAATCCAGATACTTTTCTATAGATTTTTTCTTTACCCAATGTTGGAGGGTATTAAAAATTCGGACCAGCCAAACGTAATGTTTTTTATTAGTTAGTAGTATTTTCAACGATTTTTTTTTTTTTTTTTTTTTTTTGAAAATTTGGATTTTTTTTCCAAATGGTGGAGCTTATTCAAAGTTCGGCCGAAGTTACGTCTTTTTTAATTGTTTTTGTTGTAATTTGCTTGGAACCTAGACATTGCATTGTTTTTTTTTTTTTTTTTTTCAATCCGTAGTTGTCATTTCATTACAAAACTCCGGTTGGTCCAACGGGACCTTCCAAAAACAAGTTTCACAAGAAAAAAGATTTATCTGTCATTACATATTTGAGATTTGTTGGTGTGAAAATTCTCTGTAATTCTTTTTACAGGTCAGCTCTAGAGTCTGGTCTCGGCCTGCTGGCTATCCGGGTTGTGGTTTCGTATGGTAACAGGATAGTTTTTCCAGATTGTATGGGTTAAATGGTTTTAGCTTAGAGCCTTAAACAATTATGTAACACCTCGAAACATACATTTTAGACCCCACAAAGTATATATTCTTGATCAGCATAAAATTCTATGTCGATTTAGCGATGTCCGTCCGTCTATACGTCTGTGGAAATCACTCTAGCTTCCGAACGAATTGAAGTAGATTGATAAAATTTTACTCAAATGTACATTATGTCTGCAGGACTTTTGGCATTGAAAATGGGCCATGTAGGTCCACATTTTGGTATAGCTCCCATATAACGGTACCTTCCGATATTCGGTATTTTGATGATTTTTGCGATAATATTAATCTGAATTGTTTCAAATTTGGTATTTGAAGTTCGCAATGAATACTACAGCCTACGACAGAAAAATTTCTGTGCTGGTCCACGTCTTCGTAAAGCCCACATATAACGGTACCTCCCGATATTAAGTAGTTTGATGATTTTAGCGACATTATTCACCGGTATTGTTTCAAATTTCGTATCTGATGTTCGCAGTGGATACTACAGCCTATGACAGAAAATTGTCTGTGCAGATCCACGTCGTCATATAGCACCCATACAACGGTACCTCCCGATATTCGGTACTTTGTTGATTGTAGCGACATTATTAAACAGAATTCTTTAAAATTTGGTATTTGATGTGCGCAGTGGATACTACAGCCTATGACAGAAAATTGTCTGTGTAGATCCTCGTCTTCATATAGCTCCATATAACGGTACCTCCCGATATTCGGTATTTGGAAGATTTTACCTACATTTTTCACCGATTTCTCTTAAGTTTCCAGTTACCTATGCAGGTCCATGTCGTCGTATAGACCCTAATGTAACAGCTACATTCGGTATTTTTAACAGAATTTTTAATGAATTTTATTGTTTTTGGGAATTGCCAAATTTGTTCCAAATGCTGGAGAATATTCAAAGTTCGGCTCGGTCGAACTTAGAGCTATTTACTTGTTCAAATTAATTTTGAACGAAATCTAGCTTTTGTCAAGATTTAGAAATGACTTATAATATTCACATCAAAGTAAATTTCTATTCTAATTTTCATGAACAATCACGATCTTAAAAACCGTTCTTCCGTAGATACCTGCCTCGCTCTGCGATCTTGAAAACATGTCGTTTGCATTAAGGAATTTATTTGCATTTACATAAAACTTGATGGATAAATAATCACTGTCATGATCACATTTCGGAACAAGGGAATGAAATTTTAGATGACGTTAGACATCAGTGATCGCAGAAAAAACACAGCCATCGACAACGACACCACCTCCCACATGCAGTGGAGCGTGCATTGCATGAGTGGCATAATGAAGTCACCTTTAATGGAGACAGCGCGATGCACCATATTACATTGAATTCGGAATCGCTCCAGTGATTCTAAACGAGTCAAGTTTTATTTTTTTTTTTAAATTTTGTTGCTATTGCTGCGCCCCACATTACAACATCAGGTTGGCTATGAAATAAGCAGCTACTGCTGGTTTGGTGTCCCATTACAGAGTATGCGAAGCGCTGGGTGGAATGCATGCAGTTTTCATTCTTTGTTTATATGTTAATAATGCAGCGCACAATGTAGGTTGGCGAATTTCAATTTTTTTTTGCTTTGCTGTCCTCTTTTTGCAAGAATAGTTAGTTTTTCAACTTGTCCGTGTTGTCTGCTGATCGAGAAACAAAACAAAAAAATAACTGCTTATTTGTTGTTCTATAAAATTGAAATTATATAGAAAAAAACTTGTGCGATCTATATTTGGTGTCAGCAGTCGGTTGGTTGGTTGGCTACTTGTTCTCGTTTATCTTTGCTGATTTGAAAATTGCGTGATGTTGTATTAAGCTTTGTTTATTATTTTGTTAGTCGCAGCAATTAATTTGCATTCAGTTATTGTTTTTTGTTTGCTTTTTTAATTCTTACCGCGACTGCATAATTAATTGCAAAATAATCGTAGAATATTATTGCCACTTAGGTAATACCACCAATTCTGATTATTTAAGGTTTGTTTGGAGAAAATAATGCGACTTCTTAAATTTTGATTATGTTTAGCATTCTAGATAAAAACAAGTAAAAAAACATTAAGTTCGGCCGGGCCAAACTTTTAATACCCTCCACCTTAGGGTAAAAGAAACATTAGAAGAAATGTGGCAAAAACCATTAAAATGCCGATTATGGGGAGGTACCGTTATATGGGGGCTATACCAAAACGTGGACCTATAATTACAATGTTTCGCCACCGGAGCTGGAACCCATTATGACCAACAAATACCGATTTTCAGACAAATCCGTGAAAAAATGTGGTAAAAAAACTAAAATACTAAATATCGGGAGGTACCTTTATATGGGGGCTATACCACAACGTGGACCTATACATGCAATGTTTTGCCACACGCTCAGGGACCCGCTATGACCTACAAATACCAATTTTAAGACAAATCCGTGAAAAAATGTGGCATAAATCATCAAAATACCGAATATCGGGAGG